TGAGTTATATGGTGATTGATTTCTTGTATAATTTGTATTGATCGGGAGTGGTTTTCCTGAACTGTTGTTGCTGTGAACTGTTTTGTTCGGTAGATTTTGATCTTTTTTCATGTATTGATAGAATGATTTATTTGGTTCTTTGTATTTTTGAGGTTTATTTTGACTATCTTGCTGTTTTTGTCTACATTCGGAAATACTATGTCCGTATCGGCGGCAATAATTACACCATTTTTTAAAAGATGGTTTGCCTTTAAAGTTCGGGTTCTTTTCGTAAATATTGAGTATTTCAGTGATTTTTTCGACGAGGTCTGTTTCTGATTCCTGTATATTATTAATATTAGTGGGAGTCGTTTCAATTCTGTTAACGTATTGTAATTTCAGATTTTCCGTTTCTTCTAATTTCATCGTGATTTCTGCTTGTTCTAATTTGTCTACTAGTTTTCGAAAATCTAAATCGGGTTCTCGAATTGAAGAAGGATGGGATGCTCTCTTTTTTATTGCTATTTTCCTTAATTGTGGTGTTAAGGTCATCATTAAGATTTCTGTCATCTTTGTGTTTTTATAGTCATGTGTATTTAGTGAATATGCTTTTCGAACTAGTGTTTCGATTCGTACTGCTATTTGCTTGATGGTTTCGTTTGGTAATCTACGAATTTCATTACATAAAACTCTTTGTTGTTGTTTGTTTCTTTCGGAGTCAAACATTTTTGAAAATTCTTGTGTAAATCTTTTCCAGTTTGATTTTATTTCTAGAGGTAGTACTGAAAACCATTTTTGGGCTGCGCCATCTAAGGTTGTTTGTATCAACGCTGTGCGTCGATGTATCCAATTTTGATGAAGTGGCGTGTTAATTGGTTCAGGTCCTATGTTTAAAATCAAATTTGCTGTTACTGCATTTAAGTAATCTTCTACAGAGTATTCAGGGTCTGTTCCTGTGAAGACCATTAAAGGTTTATTTGATGTTATCGATGATCCACCCATAAGGTATGGATTCATTGTCATTTGTAATGATTCTGCTGCATTTGGCATTTGAGAAAAATTTGAAAGTTGGTTTCTTGTTATTTCATGTTGTTGAAGATAATATGGGAGTGGTATTTCATTTTGCATTTGTGATGGTTGATACGAGTGTGCAGTCATTGGATTTTGTTGTTGAATTGGTTGAAAAGATTGTGTATTAATTGGATTTTGTTGTTGAATTGGTTGTTGATGTTGTGCATCTATCGGTTGTGGAGAAAAATTTCTATGATTTGTACGTGTTTTCTGTATTCCTTGTCTGCGATATTCTTGAGTATTTTGTGCAAATATATCTGGTTGTAAGAAATCATCATCTGAGGATAAATAATCCAATTGATAAGATGTTTGTTTTTTATTTTTATTTTGTTGAAAAAATGGGTAATTTTCACTGCGATCCTGTGGAGGATTTGGTTGAAAATTTTTGGAATTATATAGGGCCGTTGGGTTATCCCAGTTTCGAGGTTTTGTATATTGATTAAAATTCCTTTGTGGTTGATAATTTGTTTTTGATGGATGTGTATAATTATAATTATGGTCTGCAAAGTTGTTTCTAGTGAATGTTTTACGTGTTTTTGATGGTATTGTCATGGGTCTGTATGTTTGGTAATCCATATGTGAATATTTAGGAGCAACCGAAGGTTTAACGGTTGATTGTAAGGTTACCTGTGTTTGTGAAGGATTTGTATTTCTTGGTGTTGTTAAATTTGGGCGTATTGGTGAAATACTTTGTTGTGTAGTTGTTGTGTGTACAATTTCTTCATTTATGAAGTGTGATGGTGTCTGGATATCTTGTTGAGTAAGATTCCTAGTTCCATTGAGGTTTTCGTTGTGTATGACTGTAGAGTTTAAACTATTATTTTGTGTATCGGGTAAAAATGTATTATAGTTTAATGGTGTTGCATCAATTGTTAATGGTATTACTCTTACGTAATCTCTTATGTAAGATATTGTACCTATTGCTTGACTTGAGATTGATTGTGGAAAGCTTATAAATGCGGGATGAGACCATTCGGGGTCCCAAACATAATCTGATTGTTCTGTGATAGCGGTATCATCGTTCGAATTTTGGGGTCTAAAATTTTTTCTTGCTTGTGCAATTAAATCAATATTGTGTGTGAAGTAATCTATTATGAACCATGCCAAAATTTTTTGTAGATCGTGTTTTGTATGTTGTGAAACGTCGTCTTTCGTGAAATTTTCTTTAATGATGTTTAAATAACTAGAGAGTAGTGTGATTTCATGTCGTACTCTTAAATGTTTAGATGTTTCTGTCGGTGAGACATTTGTTATTGGGATTTCGTTTTCTAATATCGAAATATAACTATATATTATTGCGAAAACTTCATTGGTGAAAATGGAGTTTGCTCTTTGTGAGTTATGGTATTGGATGCTTTTTATATATTCTGAAAAAACTTTTGAAAATTCTAAATCAAGATCGTCTGTTTGTATAGTATATGTTCTATTATTATGGTTTGGGGAAGTGAACTCTATGGAGTAGATTCCATACTGTTGTGTTATGTTGCATATATCTTTTAAGTAGTGGTCTATGATTTGTCTTTTGATTTTTACATCGGGGAACTCTGTTTTACATGGACTGATTCCGGGTTCAAATAAATTTACGAGTAAATTTTGACAAAATATGTGTTGTCCTCTATCAGTATCTGCGTCTACTATAAAAGGAAAGATTTCATCATCATCTGGAGTTTCGTCACCTGGGGTGTGCGTTGAACTCATTTTTCCGTTCGATGACTGTTAATATGTAATTATTAATGTGTCGAATTGGTTGATTCCAATTGTATAAATGTACTGGTTTGTGTTTGTACTGTTTTTTTATTCTTCTTTTTCCTCTTTGTGATGAATTTGAAGTTGTTTCTGAGTCAGAAAAATATAATTGATCGTGAAGTGGGTAATTTTTATCTATTGATTCTTTTAGTTTGTAAAGTTCGTCTAAACTGTTGGTTTCTGATTCTGAAAATGCGTTTCGATTTTTTGAAAATCTTCTTCGTGTTATTTGTCTTTGTTTAGTTATTATTTTTCTCTTTAGTGTTTGTCGTTTTGTTCGAATGTATCCAACTGTTTGTGTATGAGGTGTGATTACAAGGTCGTATTTTTTGTTATCTATTTCACAATTGTGTAAAATGATTGTTTGTTTATTTCCTAGGTTTTTAAATGACATAAGGTTTAGGATGACGGATGCAAAAGGTTGTTAAATGATTTCTATTTTCCTAAACTGTTAGTTCTTACGATTTTTTGGTTAGCTTAACCTGGGTCTATTTGTTCAGGGTTGGAGAGAAAAGTATATCGATTCCGAAGAATGATTTTTACTTTCTCGTGACTAGTATAAGCTAAGGTGTTAACTTACTTAATCTTACTTAGGGGTAGTGATTGTGTTCAAGGGTTGGAGAATAGTAAATCGATCCACAAGGTTCAGGTATAATTAGAACGCGAGTAGTTCGTTAGATACTATTTTAAACTTACTAAGTCTAAGATTTATCCTGGGTCTGGTAAGAGGGGGGGGTCAAGTGAAGGATGATTAACCGAAGTTCTTCACTGTTTATCCTAATTTGAATGATTAGTTTTGTTTAAAAATTTCTATTAGTCTTAGGTCTTTAGAAAGGGTTGGGTAGTGAATCGACGTTTGAGGTCGTTAGACACTAATTAAGTGGGTGGGGGAGAACAAAGTTGTTCTGTTTGATCCAAGGATAAGCCTTGATGATCAAATTTAAAATTTAATTAAGGAGAAAATGATTTAAGATCCAAGGATAAGCCTTGATGATCTGGTTTTAAAATTAAGTGAATTTAAGTTTTAATAAAATTTCAAATGTGTGTAAAGGAAAGATTTAGTGTTTTGATGATATTAGTGAGTTGATGATTGCTGTTATGTTTTAGGTGATGAAGCTGGAACAACAAGATGATTTATGATTACTAACCATTTATTGTCATGCTACTAATTTTTATTTTTATTTTCCAATAAATATTTTTCAAACATGTTTTGTATAATACTGCAGAGTTTTAGGAAAACGATCTTAGATCTTTTTATCAATCGTTATTGTATAATATTAATTTTGTTTAGCGCCTGAAATGATTTTGAAGATTAACTTCAAGGTTTTATGTTTGCAAATGGAAATCTAAATTCATTGCAAGTAGTATTCGAAATATAAAAGTTTGTTCTGGCTTTTGCCGAACTATCATATAACTATACGGCAAGTTTCTACTTTGTCGTATGTCGTCTTTGGTTCGATGTCTTCTTCCAATTCCGGGTAGTTCTATTATGGTTCGGAATATTGGCTCTGATCTATTGAGTCGGAGAGACATTTCAATTAAATTATTGTCGTATAACATTTTGTAAATGTTTTTGTCTAATTTCTAATCTAATTTTGGTTAATTCTAATCTAGTAAGGTCTTGTTCGAGACTTATGGTCGCACCAGATGAGTTAGGACCGAAGTGTAACTCATAGAGTAATTTCGGATAGGGTACACCGTCTGCTCGTCACGCTATCTTATTTTCGGCCGGATAGATTCGTGCAACTTCTTAGTCTAATACCGATCCTAATCTTACTCTTATACTATCTAGTCTCAGGTTGTTTAACTAGTCTCTGCTAGGCTCAATAGATCTAGGGTATACTGGTTTATTGCGGCTGCTGAAGTGCTCGGGAGAGTCCAACTAATTTCTAAGTTAAATTCAAATCTCTCTGGTGCTGAAATTACAAGTAACTTCAGCACTTACAAATAAGTGGGTTGTTAGTTAGATGGATCATGATTGGTTAATATTAAATACTTTACATTGGTAAAACATTTAATTTATCCAATCATAAAATGTAGTTTAGATCAGGTTCCATTTTGTAATTTAGTTTGTAATGCAATGTTAAAGCACCATACTTCAAATACACTAATTCTCAATAAGAACAATTTATCGTTCGATAGTACATGAAAAACAGAGACACAATCTAGAAGGTTACAAACTATGTTGAAGTCAAATTGTTTAGTGATTACTACTGTCTCGATACCTACTACACGCAGCGAAATTTCACTTTGCCTGAGATACGTGAAACAGAGGAAGAAGCGAAAAATGTTAACGAAAAAGTGCGCGTGATGGAAAATATTCTTGGCAGAAATTGGAAACACATCAATTTCATAGATGAAGACGATCCACGTAAGAGTTAATTTTCAACTGCGAATTCATCTTCGACTTGAATTTTCCTTCTGTGTCCTTTATCCGGGCCTTTTTTACTCCCGGATAAAAAAGGGGTCGACCCCTCTCCAACTGCTCCCCGGGTCGACTTGCTCATTTATGTTTCGACTTTAAAATTGAGCTCAACAGGGCTTGATTGGAAAAGAACAGCCGAGATAGTCTTTTGGCCGAATCAAGTCGATCAAACCTCAAGCACAGTCAAAACTTGTCAAAATTGAGTCGCTTATGATCGAAACATACCTCGAATGCTGTCGAAACAAATCAAATTTTAGTCGAGCACGGTGAAAACGAACCTCGAGAACGGTCAAAACGTGCGCAAAACTTTGGTCGAACGTTGTCGAAATATACGTTGAGCACGGTCAAAACGTACGTCCAGCACGGATGAAACATGCCTCGAGCCCAGTCGAAACATATCAAATTTTTTCGAGTACAGTAGAAAACATACCTCAAGCGAGGTCGAAACTTACATCGAGCATGGTCAAAAGCAGCGACGTTAATTTTTCTTAAGTCGTGCCGCTAAACTCTAAAGTCTAAACCAGGGGCGGATTTAGGGGGGGGGGGGCGGACGGTTCCCCCCCCCCCCCCAGGGATTCGACCCCCTGCCGACCCAAAGGGTCCCCCCTTTGATGCTTTTTCAGAAATCCATTTTTGGCCGACCGACCCTAAAATTTTTCTAAAGGCGCCTTGGGCGCCAATATATACTAACTTTGATGGGGAGCGCGCGCCAAAAAAAAACGCTATTTTTTGTCAAAATTTTTCAAAAAAATGCCCAAAAACGGCTTTTTTGACTGTTTTTTTAAAAATTTGCCTGCGGCGCAGAAAATTTTGCCAAAATAGGGGCAAAACAGAGCTCGAAAAATCAATCAATTTGGTCGACCTAAAAAAAAAAAAGGTCGTCAAAAATTAATTTTTTGAAAATCCGCCGCCCCCCCCCCCCCCTCGAGAAAATTCTAGATCCGCCCCTGGTCTAAACGCTAAAGTCGTGCCGTCTGTTATTTTTAGGTCGTTTTATAGCTGGCACTGCTAAAGACTTTTCTTAAGTAGCGCAACTGATGTCTTTTCATAAGTCGCGCCGCTTATGCTTTTTTTCTGAGTTCGCGCCATTTAAGTCTTTTATTCAGTCGTGCAAACATTTTTTGTAAAACGCACCATCAGCTTTGATAATTCAGGCCGCTGGTATTTTTTCCTGAAGTCGCGCTGCTAAAGTCTTTTTTGTAGGTAGCGCCACTTAGGTCTTCTCTTAAGTCGCTATTTCAGTTTATTCTTAAATCGCGCTGCTAAAGTTTATGTTCAGATCACGCTGCTTGAGTCTTCGTAAGTTTTTTGACGGCTCGACTTAGGCAAAGATTTGCATTGCGACTTAAGAAAAGACTTCATCAGCGTGACTTGAGAAAAGTTTTATGTGGCGCGATTTAAGAAAAAGCATTGGTTGGTCGAGTTAAAAAAAACTTTAGCGGCGCGAACGTACACATCACGAGAGTATCTCATTTTTTGTCTCGTTTTCGTGATTCAAAGTAATAATTACACATTTTCTCAAAAATTGTCTCGTGAATTTTCTTTCATTTTAAGGAACTTAGTTTGCTGCTTTTTAATGGCCAAAGCGGCACTGCAATTTGTTCGAGGTTTGGCTCATTTTTAGTCAAGTGGTGGATTGAGCTCCGGAAAATTGTTTTTTTTGTTCCGACTTTCGATACGAAAGTAACGGAATATTTGTGCTCGGGGTGGGTTTTTTTTTCTTCAGACAAATTTCGACTTTTTAACTAGCCGTTTTTGACGGAATTTTTTTTATCATTCAAAAGGTATTGTTGTCCTGAGCTTAAATTTGAAACGAAATTTCACCTGTTTAAAGATTGCCATTTTGGCCATTTTGACCAATTTCGGACAATTAACGCGCGATATAGTTCGCGCTATTAACGCGTAAGCGGAGATTTAATCCGTCTTATAAATCGTTCCAAACTGGTTTATTTGCCATAATTGATTTGTTACAAGGAACGAAATCTCTCTTTTTGTACTTTATATGGCGTGGGGGGGGGGATGATTTTCATAAAAAGTTTCAAATTTTAGAAAAAAAACTTTTCATTTTATTTCATTTAATTTTTTTATGTTATTACTGCTGCTCCATAAACATAAACCTTAAAAGGAAGTCGGAACATTCAGGGCTTCGCCCTGATACGAGCAGTCTTGTTTCCCTTCAAAATGACGTAGATGCCCAGCGTACTTATTATAGGCTGAGCTTCTAAAACCTACTTGTTTTATATTCTCGATGCTTGTCTGAAGTGAGAGTGCTTGTCTTTTTTGTCTAGTTTTGAAATTGATTTTCAAGTTTTTTTCTGGTTCTCTCTGTTACGATTAAAATATTATTGACCAGGATAGCGAATGTGTTAAAGTATAATTGCTTAAAGTCAGGCGCGTCGCCGTTCGAGTTTCAGGCGGCTTAACAGCAGTGTTATAGAACCCTGTTTAAAACGGATACTTTTTTGTCTTGCCTCTCATAAGGCTGACGTTGCATTTTCTTCTTTTCTCGTTCAGCTGTATTTGTGTCTGCGCGTATCATTGGCCTAATGTTGAGATGAAAGTAAATCAACCGTCTCCGGGTTGGTTTATTGCTTCTTTTCCCTTGGTTTTCCTATTGGGATGGTTCAGATTCACCATTATCGGTTAGTCTCTGAGGAGTTCGTTCATGTCGAAACATTTCTCTATGCTTTTTGCCATTTTCTAATTTGTATGCCATTTGTATTGCCATTTGTAAATTGTATCAACGACGCGACGTAGGATAAGAATTCAGAAGTGGTACATGAAAACAAAAGATTTCAGCGTCAGAATTAAGAAAGAACTGATGACGTGACTTTTGAAAAGACTTAAGTGGCTCGTTTTTAGAAAAGATTTACGGCCCGTTCTATAAAAAAAACTGATGGCGCGACTTGAAAAGAAGCAGACGGCGCGACTTGTGTACAGATTGATGACGCGACTTGCAAAAACACCGACTTCGCGGCTTCAGAAAAGACTGACTGTGCGATTTATGAAAAACTAACGGCTCGACTTTAACCAGCGGCACGACTACGCAGTTTAGTCTTAAAACGGTTTAAGGCGCGACCTACAGAGTAAGTTTTTCTAAGTGGCTGACCTCGACCCGGGCAATCTTACAATTCGTTGTTGGAATCATATTCTTAGTTAGTTTAGAGATGATCTCAAAGCATGAAAAACAGACCCACCCCTCAATTTTCAGCTTCACAGTTATACCTTATCCGATTAAACATCAGTGAACAAACATCAGAGTCATTTAATCCTACAAAGATGAATGTAATTGTTCCGACTTTCGATACGAAAGTAACGGAATATTTGTACTCGGGGTGGGTTTTTTTCTTCAGACAAATTTCGACTTTTTAACTAGCCATTTTTGACTGAATTTCTTTAAATCATTCGAAAGGTATTGTTGTCCTGAGCTCAAATTTGAAAAGATATTTCACCTGTGATCACTTTTCGTAAAGCTATGGTGGTTTAAATATTGTCATTTTGGCCAATTTGGGACAATTAACGCGCGATATATTTCGCGCTTTTAACGCGTAAGCGGAGAGTTAAACCGCCTTAGAAATCGTTCCAAATTGGTTGAAAGAAGCTTTTTTGCCATAATTGATTTGTTACAAGGAGCGAAATCTATTCGTTTGTACTTTATATGGCGTGTGGGGGATGGTTTTTATAAAAAAAAATTCGGAAAAAAAATCACTTTGTTTTATTACATTTAATTTTTTTATGGTTATTACTGCTCCATAAACCTTAAAAGGCAGTCGGAACATTCAGGGCTTCGCCCTGATACGAGCAATCTTGTTTTTATTTTAGTTAGGCAATGTTTGGCGTATACATTAAACTACATAAAGATTGGTTATTAAAATCAAAGAATGATCGCCCAAGTTTTGCTTTGACTAGGAATCATTCACGACAAAAAAAAGAGAGCAAACCATCCAAAATTTTGCCCTGAGAAACATTTCAAAATGACGCGGCTCAATTGTTAGCTACTAAAACAAACAACGAATCAAGAATTTTCAATTGTTTAGCTTTTAGTGCTTAGCTCAAATGTTGGCTAGTAAAAAAAGCAACAAATCAAGAATTTTGAATTGCTTAGCTTTTAGTGAATTTGCGACTTTTTTTCAATTTGAGATTCTTTGTGAAAACCATTCCCCCACACGCCATTGAAAACTCAAAGTGAAAGATTTCGCTTCCAATAACACATCAATTATGTCACAAAGCTTTCTGCAACCAATTTGGAACGATTTCTAAGACATATTAAATCTACGCTTGCGCGTTAATAGCGCGTTATATATCGCGCGTTAATTTTCCCAAATCGGCCAAAATGCCAATATTTAAACCCCCATAACTTTACGAAAAATAATCAAGGGTGAAATATTTTTTCAAACTCAAGCTCAGGACAACAATGCCTTTTGAATGATATAAAAAATTCCGTTAAAAATGGCTAGTTAAAAAGTCGAAATTTGTCTGAAAAAAAACCACCCCGAGCACAAATATTCCGTTATTTTCGTATCAAAAATCGGAACAAAAACACTTCTGAAGTCTTTTCTCTGAAATCTGAATGCAAACTTAATTGGTTTAATTATATAACTTTGCACTGGCCGTTTGCTGATAGGCTGCTGTTATTCTTTGTCAAATTTGGTTGTTGGAAAGAAAGCTAAAAATTCCTTTCTACGAGAGTAGTCGAGCAAAAAATTGCGTTTTTTATAATCTTTTTGAAGTATAATTTCTGAGCAGAATTTGAAGCTTTGAGTACCGGTAGAATCTGCCAAGTGATTTCTCGTCCCGTAAAACATTAGTT